GGATTAGGGCTTTTTCTATCCTAGCTAGCGTGATAGGTGAAAAGACTCCCAGTAAATGCTCTTCCCTATTTTGCTACCAGGACATGATATGGAATGCCTGTCGGGTTTATGGCGGGCTAGGGTGGTGGCGGTATGATGAACAGTTCCGCCAACGTTTGGCGGTTCGCCCTTCCACGAGTTGGGATCAAATGGATATCGGCTTGTGGTTGGCCATCATGACCCGCCCAGCTTCGCATCAAGGGGGCCTTTCGTCCTTTCTTGGGGGGGCCGGCGCTGGGTCCTCATCTTCAGCGTCGGCCACTCAGCGGAGGACTGGGTACTGTTGGCAATATAACGACGGCCAATGTAAGTTCGGTTCCGCCTGCCGCTTCAAGCATGAATGTTCCGGGTGCGGCGGTTCCCACCCAGCATCAAAATGCTTCAAGCGAGGTAGGACCGGCGACAAAGGAGATGCCATGGGCGCTAAGGGCGAGGACGCCGGTGGACGTAGACGCGATGCGCCCTTGGCTAAAGCGTTATAGCAATAAGAAGGCGGCTGCCTTGTTATTGGAGGGCTTTGGAACAAGACCTAGGTGGGTTTGATTCGACCTCTGCAAGGGTTCAGGGGATCTTACGGTTGCTCTGGTTCTGGGAGGCTAGCGGGTGTTCTCCGGCTACGGTTTCAGGGAAGCTATCCGGTCTTAGTTTCTGGTTCAACTTGACTAAGGTGCCTGACGTTACCAAGGACTGCATGGTTCGGCTTGCGATGCGCGGCTGGCGCAAGGGCCCACACCTGCGGGATTCTCGGAGGCCGGTTTCTGGCGCTCTGCTAGTAGGCATTGCGTCGGTCTTACCCAGGGTTTGTTTTTCAGATTCGGAGGCACGTTTGTTCCAGTTGGCTTTTACTTTCGCCTTTTTCGGCGCCCTTCGAATCGGTGAGCTTGTGAGCCCTAGCAAACGGATCCCGGGGGGCTTGTTGTTCAACGATGTGTCTGTGGTGTCGGATTCAGTGCGTTTTTTGGTACGAAGGTCCAAAACCGACATCTTCGGCAAAGGGGCATGGGTTACCCTCCGCGCTATTCCGGGTTCGGCTGTCTGCCCTGTCGCATCTTTTCAGTCTTATTGTCTTGGTCGCCCGGACGTTGAGGGCCCTCTACTAATTCATGGGGACGGTTCCTTCCTTTCTCGGTTCCAATTTCTTCGGGTCTTTCGGTTGGCACTCGACCAACTGGGTATTTCGAGTGCAGACTTTGGGGGACATTCTTTTCGAATTGGGGCCGCAACTGAAGCCTCCCGTTTAGGTTTTTCGGACCAGGCCATTCAGAGGATTGGCAGATGGGAATCGGGGAGGTTTCGGTCTTATGTACGGCCCACACGTCTGATCGGTGTCCCCCTTGTGTTTTCTCCACAGGGCCTGGCCGACGGATCTGGTTGATCGGTCATTCGTACATCTACTGGGCTCACCTGCGGGCTGGGGTACGCCCGGGTGGGACACGGCTCGGAATACCTCGGGAGCTGGCGGAGGTCCGGTGGTTCGGGTTCCGGGGCATGAGATGGGGTCAGCTATTACCGGAGGTCGTGCAGTTATCCACTTTATTAGGAGCCCCGGACATCTTGGTGGTGCATCTGGGGGGGAACGATCTGGGGTCCCTGCCTGCGTGGGGGCTGGGGGAACTCATCAGGCGAGATTTGGCGCGCTTGCGTGTGCTTTTTCCACAACTTTGTTTAATACGGTCGTATATCGTTTCTATGAACTTTTGGAAGTGTGCACGCGATCAGGGTGCTATTGAGCGCTGCAGGGTCAAGATTAATAAGCGGGTTTCCAAATTTGTCCTAGGCGTCGGGGGCTTAACAGTGCGACACCGTATTTTTGAGCGCGAGGCAGCAATCTATTTTCGCCCGGACGGGGTCCATCTAACTGACGTAGGCTTGGACTTATTTAATTTAGCGCTACAGGACGCGTTGGAACAGGCCATGGCGTTGCTTGGGGGTCGCGCCCGCTGATTTAGGCGTAAATGCAGCTGGGGCTAGTGGCGGGTATGGTCCTTGCCGAACCTATTGGGAAGAGGAGTAAAGAAAAAGAAAGATGCTGGGTCGGGTCCCTCCCCTGACCTCGAAAAATTTTGGGTATTTGGGCGTGCCCTCCGTGCCAGGAAAGGTGGCCAGGGGTTGGCATGTGGAGTTTGAAGGCCAAAGTGAAGGCCAGGTATCTTGGACGAGGGGGGAGGGCCGATGCCTTGGTGGGGGGGTGTACCCTAGAGTTTTGGTGGTACGGTTGGCAAGGACTAGTTTGAAGATAAGCATACTTACACCTAAATTATTTATGGTTGGTTTATTTACAGTTGTTTGTTAATTTATAAATAAAGCTGTGGCCTTTTTTATACCACATATACGTTTCCTAGTTTGATTGGGGGGAATTGAGGATTTGGGGGATTGGTATGGTTCACAACACACGATAACCGCTACCTACACACAAGGCCCAGAGGAGGCGGGCTGAAAGCTAGCCGGATAGGAGGCATGTGTGGGTGTGGTGGGTGTGGTGGAAGTATGGGTGGTGTGATTTAGCTAAGGAGTAGGGTGGGGTCATATAAATAGGTGACATTTTGTCTGCTACCTCAGCCATCTTAAATTTAACGGCAAGGTAACTAGTCCCCTCCCTCCCTCCCCTGTTTTTTTGCGTTGTTTGTCTGTTTGTCATTAACAATTTTTTCTTGTCACAGCCGGCGGGTATGGTCCTTGCCGAACCTATTGGGAAGAGGAGTAAAGAAAAAGAAAGATGCTGGGTCGGGTCCCTCCCCTGACCTCGAAAATGTTTTGGGTATTTGGGCGTGCCCTCCGTGCCAGGAAAGGTGGCCAGGGGTTGGCATGTGGAGTTTGAAGGCCAAAGTGAAGGCCAGGTATCTTGGACGAGGGGGGAGGGCCGATGCCTTGGTGGGGGGTGTACCCTAGAGTTTTGGTGGTACGGTTGGCAAGGACTAGTTTGAAGATAAGCATACTTACACCTAAATTATTTATGGTTGGTTTATTTACAGTTGTTTGTTAATTTATAAATAAAGCTGTGGCCTTTTTTATACCACATATATACGTTTCCTAGTTTGATTGGGGGGGAATTGAGCGATTTTGGGGATTGTTATGGTTCACACCACACGATAACCGCTACCTACACACATGCACCTGACTCACAGGCACCCAGCAACAGCGTTAAACCTGCGATCAACAGCACCGCGGCGATCTAGGGTTAATTTTAGCGTATGACAGACTGGGTCCGTCATCCGGTGTCATGGGCTTAAGGTCCTATTTTCTTTTATGTGTTCATATATATTGCAAAAGCCAAAAAGGTTATGGTGGGGAGAAAATTGTGATTGAAAACCCCTTCCACCTGAAGTCTGTGTGACTGGTGTGCAGGTATTTGTTTAACATTGTGTTAAATGTTAAACAAAAATCTGCACACCAGTCAAGCCATAAGACTTGCTTTGCCCATAGAAATCACAAATTTGCAGTGATATTATTACCGCAAGGAGTTCTGGGTGGCCCTAACATTAACTATATATATAGTTGTGGATGGATGAATTGTTTTCACTTTTGTACCGTTATAGTCTTTACAAAGAAAAATTATAATAAAACACTATTTGAAAAGTTTAGGGTTCAAGTTAGGATTAGAGCCATCAAGACAATCCATTTACTGAAATCCCCTGCCTGTGGGGCCAGTATTTATAATGATAAGGGGCATGTGCCAATGCTAGCACTAAGCTGGACTGTCAGGTAAGGCATCCAGATCCTGTATACTATATTTTGCCTCATTCATAATCTCTAATAAATAGTGGCTCAGGCAGCATTTATGATTACATATAGTACTTTTAACATTAGAATGTTCCTTTTGTTTTTTACATTCAGGACACCCCTCAATAGAAAAGCATTGAGGATCCTACTGTGCATGCATGGCAATTGGCAATAGGATTCTTTTCATAGAGATGCATTACGGTATTTCTCTATGGAGAGACTTGACTGTGTTTGACATCATCATGATTACAAAGAAAGAAAACTTTACAAGTTTTTACATGGAAATGTCTCTAAACTCAGTGTGATTAACAGTCACTAGAGGCACACTGATTGACAAACTTAAACACCACTGTTTCTCATAAATGGCAATGGTTATACTTGTCACCATACAAAGAGAGCACCAAGGCACCAAAACCACTATATTAAGCTGCAACAGTATTGGTGCTCAGGGTGCCCCTTTAACTAAAACAAGAAAAAATAAGAGATGGCAATTTAGGGCAAGAAAAGGCAGTTTATGCCCTAAAAATGTGATACCTATAAGTGGTAATTTGCTACATGCTAACAGCATAGAGAACTTTGTGTGGGGCAATACATACACGTTACCTAAATGCACTGCAGCAAATCAGAATGAACGGATATACTGCATCGGTCAGTAATAACCAAAGAGACTGTCGGACACAAAGCAAGTACTCAAAATGGAGCTTTCATTCAAAAAATGTGTGGGTGACAAAGTCATTTGCAAGTATTAAAACTCTACACAATTTTCTTCTTAAGTGAGCGGCAATTCTGCAGATTAAGAATAGATGACAAAAGGATGCATGCACACAACCTGCTGCAGTAACAAGGCCTAGTGTGCCACACTCCGACACTAAGTAAGGAAATGGACATGTACATATCTACTGAGGCGGCCATTTTAACTGCCAGCTCTGCACAAATGGCATAGATGAGAAGCTAAACACTAAACCTAAAATATATTTGAACTTAAACATTTATAAAGAGTTTTAAGAAATATAAATGATTTATTATGAAATATTAAAATAATAATCATTGGGATTTAAAAATAAACAAAAACAACAACACGATGCAGTTTCTGACCAATCAGAGCACTTTAGAACTCATGACATAGAACTTGGCTCATGCACCTGCCACTTCACTTCAAACCTTTTGAGAGCGATTTTGATTGGTGACAGTTGGCAAACTTTTTATTCGGCATTCGTGGATTAAAACCATCAAACTCAAACATGGATGGTAAGAAGGCGAAGAAGAGGACCATTGAAGAGGTAGAAAGCAGAGGAAGAACACAACAAAAAGAAGACAACAAGGACAGTGACATCAGGAAAGAGCTACTGGTGAAGAAAAGGAAGAAAGAAGAACATAAAGATGAAGAAGGAAAACAACGCGCAAGTGAAGAGGAAATTAATGAAGAAATCAGCGACTCTCCAGAAGATCCAGAAGATCCAGGTCCATCTTTGGATTCATCTCTTTCGCTGGAGAGATTTACATTCCACCGACTGCTTGGCAAGGGTGGCTATGGAAAGGTACGCAATTTGTGAAATGTCCATTTACACAGCAGATATGATTTTTTTTACAAAAGAAACAGAATGTTTTTGGGGTGATGTTATTGAACACATTATTGATTAATATAATTCTCAATAATTGGTCATAGGATGTAAGAGTACACCCTTGTCAAATCATTTAAAGATTTATATTTGAAAGTTTAAACATGTGATTTGTCTCTGATTGAGGTCACTTAGTTTCATCTATTGCTGGTTTTAACTTGAAAATATATTCTGTTTGCTCACCTGTAACATTGAACTTTATGTCAATTTATTTTAACATCAATGAGAAAATTTACTGAAAAATTAGATTCAGAGATGGTTATAAAACCTATTCTGTTGTTTAGATAGGGTTAGGTGAGTAATAACAGCATAACCCTGTGTAACATTACAAATTGGACTAGCACTGGTATAATTAAGACCAGACCTGCCCCCCATTCTTTCATTTATTGTTATTTTTTTGTTACACTTTTTTATTTTTAGCACATTTTTTTATCCATTATTACTTTGTGCAAATTCTTTAACTATTTTTCTAATAAAATTGTATTTAAAATATCTTCTATTTAAGAATGATATTTTAATTGGTTGTAATCTCAGTGACATCTGCTTCCCCCCACTTTTCAAGTCGGAGGTCCCACCTTCCCATTTTGTATCTAATTTATTTTAAGATTAGTTCTATGGGCAATGCACAGTATTGAAAATCAAACAAGGTTATTATTATTATTATTATTATTATTATTGGCATTTATATAGCGCCAACTAATTCCGCAGCGCTTGACAATATTATGAAAAGGGGGGAAATGTACAATAAATGAGACAATTACACAGTAACACAGGAACAATAGATAGATGAGGGTTAATTCACTAAACAGTTTTTAATGTGATGAATTATAAAAATTAGCCTAAAGTAGACCTTAACCCATTTTAGCACAAATAATATTGCCTTCTCAATTCCCATCAACATACTTTTTGGTGAATAAATTCCATATTCCATATTTCTTACATGTTCCTCTGTTGGATATTTAATTGTCATTTAGTTAGTAGTACTGGAAATTGATAGTGTTTGTTGTGATTTTTCACTGTAATTATGGCCAGTTTAATCCACTCCAACTGTCACTACAATTGCTACTTCCTGGTCACATGACCTGATAGGAATGATGGACATTCTCAAAGCTTTACTAGGATAGCGAGAGATACATTTCTACTAAATGTCAATGGAAACTGTATCACAGTCTATTGTTATGAAAACTGAATTATTTCTACTTAAGAAAACATATACAATGCTTATGTTTCATGGATTGTATAAATAGAAGTGCGATAGAGGATCTTTTCACATTTTGAAGATTTAATAAAGCTTTATAGAATATACTTCCTTACATACTACAATACACAGGAAGTTACTGTGTTAATTATGTAATTGTACAATGGGTCACCCAGTTAATACTGTATCATGTAAATCATTTCGGTCTCTGTTAAGAACCAATGCACTGGATTCTCTTTTTGTTTGTGCTATTGTTTGTGCTGTTATTTGTATTTTTGCAGTGTATTTTCTAAAGCTGATGTGTGCTACTATAATAAAAATATTCTGTTCAAGTACAGCAATATTCTACGTGTGTGTATATATATATATATATATATATATATATATATATATATAAATTTACTTTTAAGGGATTCTGAGGGAAGTGTGGACAAGTACGGTCAATAGCCCACACAGCAAGGTGTTGCAAAGAATCACCGATGGCCCCTGACGCGCGCGTTTCGCCCACAACTCATCAGAGGGGACTCTTTTGAAATTTACTTTCCATTTTTATATTTAGATCTCAATACGTTACCAATAAGCTGTATCTATTTTTAATCTCTAATAGGTACCATTACTTTAGTGTTGCAATCCTCATATCATATTATATTGCAACCATTTGCACATTGAGTATCACCACTCATTATTCTTTGCTAAACCTAGCTATTTATATCAACTTTTAACTTATTCATTAAAAGTTAATTTTTTAAAATTTTCCTCAGGGCACTCAACTGTTCTTTTTTTGTTATTACTACCTTGGTAGTTTATTGTGGGTTAACCTCACTATGAGTGTTTTCCCTATAGCTTCCATCCCCCTTTTTCTCTTCTATATATATATATATATTGCACTCCCTGGTCGTATTAATTTGCAAACTTTATTCACCAATGTTCAGTAACTTTACTGTATCATCAATGTTTCGGTCCTCATCCGGACTAGGACTGAAACGTTGATGATACTGTGAAGTTACTTAACATTGGTTAATAAAGTTTGCAAATTAAGAAGACCAGTGAATGCCCTTCTATGAGTGAGTGGATTTGTGAGTGGTCCGACGTCATAATTCGGCTCCTGGCATCACTAAGCAGTGCGAGGGAGCTGAGCAGTAAGAGCTCAGGCAACAGCACTCCCTCGCCACAAGCCCGTAATAGAAGCTACCGCCCGCCTTGTGGGGGGCCCAAAGGTGGACAGCCGGCCAGGTCTTGGGCCCCCCAGGACACGAGGCTAACAAGGCAGTGCCGCCCAAAGAAAATCCCAGTGACCTATGGTAGCGTGCCCACAGAGAGGGCTCAGCGTGCCATCTGTGGCACGCTTGCCATAGGTTTGCCTTCGCTGCTATACATTATAAGTGGTGCCAATGGTTTAGATATACCATTAGAATGCTAATCTGATACATAAGATTCAATCAGCCATATCTGGTACAGACTTCAGTAAATAAACAGGACAGGGATTGGATTTGTGCACTACTCTGTTGTGTTTTTGATCAAGTTAGGTGTAATGAGACCATAGGGCATATTAAAGATAGTTTAAAGGAGAAAGGCTAAAAAACAAAATAATAATATATTTTACACGATATGTCTGTGATATAATAACCACACAGTAGGTTTCTTAAAGGGAAACTATAGTGCCAGGAAATCAAAGTTGTTCTCCTGGTACCATAGCTCCCCCCTGCCTCACAGCCCTCACCCCCGTGCTGCAGAAGGAGTTAAATCCCTACTGTCACAATGTCGGTGCTGGTTTGGGTTTGCCTCTGCTCCTCCCCTGCTGGCGTCATCTGGCAGGGGAGACCTAATGCGTATGCACAGCAATGGCCATGCCTGCATTAGTATTTCTACCATAGGGGGGTTAACATGACACTGGATGTCCTCATTCATAGCCTGAGGACGTCCAGCGTCAGTTAGGTGACCAAAAGTCACCTAAGGACCCGAAAGTCCCTCTAGTGGCTGTTTGGTAGACAATCACTAGAGTTGGAGTTTACCTTCAAAGGTAATTATTGTAGTTTATTAAAGAATAAAATAATTACCTTTGCAGGGTCAAGGGTCCTGGAACTATGCACCCAAATCACTTCAATGAGCTGAACTGGTCAGGGTGCCTATAGTGTCCCTTTAGGTAAATATAGCTTGCTACATTTAAAACATTTGTGTCAGTTTTCCTTTAACTACATCATGCTAATAGATATGTTAGCACACAAGGATTGACACAAAATTCTGAAAGCCTCTTTATTTATGTGTCATCCAGGTCTTCCTGGCATCGGATAAAACAACGAAGAAGGTGGTGGCTTTGAAAATAGTGAGGAAGAAAGACCTTCTCACTGAAGCCTCAGACAGGACACTCACTGAACGTCGAGTGCTGGAGATGGCAGCCGGAAGTCCTTACCTAACCAAAGCCTATGGAGCGTTTCAGATCCCGGTAATTCCTTAATGGTCATAAATCAACTTTCCATTAACAAACCAACCAGCAATATATCTGCAGATGTTTGCTTTAAATTTTCTGTGGCAAATTGGTTTCTAACCAATATATACCAAAGAAAAAAGTTACTTGAGCACTATGCATATTATAAACTCTCTTATAAAACCTCTTGTGTGAATCCTACACTAAAAATTCACCTTCCTGTCTTCAACTAACAGGTAGAAATCTCTAATGAGACAAAAAAAATTATTTTTCCAAAGCCTTTTGAGTGATACTAAAAACTTCCAGTTATTTAAATGTCCACAGGGATTTGGGATAGTGAGCAAGTAACTTTTTTGCTTTGTGTTTTTATTGTATGTATTGGGGCTGATGTGTACCATAGTCATTGCTGCTGCCAGGAGTAGTGGGCGTTTAAGCACAGGACTTGATTTTGTATAGTTTCTAACCCAGATAAAGAGTAGTTGGCCAAAAAATCCAAGGGAACAGAACAGGGGGTAACCTTAATAGAATTGGTCGCAAAGAGAAGAAGAAGAAATCTGTCCCTAAAAAAATATATAGATAAGGGTAATAATTTTAAAATCTCAAAAATACTTTATTAAACAGAAAAGACTCACATATACTGTACAAAACAAACCCTGACAGTAGCTACCTGACTCAAAATTGTGAGTTAATTACAGTAGTCTACGTAAGGAACACAGATAAAGGGAAAGGAAAGTGAGAAATGACACACAAAAGTGAGAAAATTCAATTAACTGAGCTGGCACAAATAGATATATCAATATCTAGCTAGTATCCTTAATCATAAGATCAGCCGGAACTCAGTATATAATTGTCACGTATATAGAGAGAGAATAAATTGGCACAAAGTATCGAAAAAGCCCCTTGAAAGGTAACTACTTAGCAGTAATAAATATCAATGCAGCAGTGTTTCAGGAATGTGTCTGATACTCAGCTCTTTGTATATTCCACGCAACTATCAAATGACAATGTGCACCGGTGTATCGAGAGTGCATTGAATATATGTAGCGATATAATTGAATTGTGCGCTCAACAAGTTACCTAAGGTAACAGTGATCAAAGGCACTTCGTTACAGTTGGTTCCTTAAACAGAGCATCATTTTTTTTCCCCACAGATATAGGATTTAGCAAAGTACGGGAAATGATGTTTTAACAAGTTTTCTTTTTGCTGTTTAAGTGTTTGTGTTGTGAAGTATATCCCATTGTATTTTATTGTCAACCAGACCCATCTATGCTACGTGTTGGAGTATCTGCATGGTGGTGATCTTGACAGCTTCCTGAAAAGAAACATCAGACTGGAACCTTGCATTGCAATGTAAGTCTTAAAATACAATGCTTAAAATGGAGACCGGACGAGGAGAGGGGAAATATGGGTCAGAGCAATGAGAAGATTTAACAGGAAGAAGTATGACAAGGCCTGAGGAAAGAGTCACATTTAAGAATTGTTTTGGAAAAGAGGGATGGTAAAGGAACCCTAAAGTTTCAAATAAAATTCTAATAGTTTTAATAATGACAAAATCACCCAACATAAACATTTACAGATTAAAAATATCATTAAAGTTTATGGAACAATGTTAAATAATGTTTTTCTATTAAAAGAACAGAAGTATAATTCTCAATATAGAGCCACTGTATATATTGACAAGAGGATTGGAAAGGAATTAATTTGGGTGGGAGTAAAAGGAGACAGTTACTAATAGAGAATATACAGCTGCCCACCACCACGTTTTCTACTATTAGCATTGTTTGGTAGACAATGGTGAATGCCATAGATAAAGAATTTAGAAAAATTAGGAACCTCAGTGAGTCTGAAACATATATACATACAATAAATATACTCTGAATATAAATATTCTACAAAATGCTAACTCAGTATGAATCCATGTTTGCGTGATGATGTAGAAACGTGTGGGCCCATACACCTAATGTTGCTAAGAAACAAGCATACAATGTATAACAAAGAGTGTCGGTGTATAAAAACAACGACATGTAAAAAAGGAGGAAAAGGTAGAAAGAGTGAAGGCATGTTACTGAAGTATCTCAGCTAAAGCATATCTGTACATGAGTCCAAGCAATCATCAAACGTAGAAGTCGAGAATCGACAAATAGGAGGAGATGCAGGAGATAGAGAACTGTGGCTGTGTGTGATTGAAGTTTCTAAGGGTAAACAGTGAAATCACCATGTGTGCTGCATGCAACCAGTGATCAACATGTGAAATTAGAGCAAGGATACCAGTGAGTTCCTACAGTGATAGACAATAGAGAGTGAGAAAGACAAGCTGGTGAAGAAAAAAAACTGTAATTAGAGGCAGATCAAAGATATAGATATACCGAGGAGCTCAAAATAGACAAAAACTACTGCAACTGGTGCTAAATCGATTTATAACATATAATACTGATTTTACACATAGCACTAGGCAACAATATGAACAACAGATAAGCACAGGCCATTTTGCACACAACCGAACATGTAAGAGCTATGGAAATGGATGGAAAATTGCCACAATGAGTAACAGCAAATATAAAGGAAGCTAGTCAATAAAAGGAATAAGAAGATGCCTGCTATGTATGGTATAGATGTCCTAACAAGATATACAATTGTTATACAGAGAAATATGATGGTAGAAACATATTTGAAAATAAAAAGTATTCACCAGTAATACTAGAAAAAGTATATGTGACAGTAAGAAAAGTGAATGTAGGCAAGAGAGAGCTCTGATTTTATATATATATATAGTAGAGATTGTAGCCGTATTAGTCCAGTGATGTAGATGTAAAAAACAGATAAAATTCTTATCTTGTAATACCTTTTTTATTGGACTAACAGAATTTTTTAATGACAAGCTTTCGGGAGAACCTCCCTTTCTCAAGTCTGAAGCATTTCTGAGCAAAACGACACATAGAATTCAAAGTTGAGTTGTGATACAGGGGTTAAAGCGACATGAGTGTAGATAAGACACAGGTTTGTTAGAAAATAGACACCATCTTAGCAGAGGGTCATAAATATCTTGTTGAAGAGAAGAGTAGGGGGGAGAGAGGGAAAAGAAAAACAAACAAGCAGACAGTGCACAGGATGATACACTTTATACATGCACACACACAGAAATATGTATATGTGAACGCATAAACACATGTATATATACATAAACACATATACATACATGCACATGGACTCATATACACAAATATAAATGCACAGTAATATATATAAGCATTCATGCATACGAGTATGGGAAAGCATAGGTCTACACATAGTACTTTGTATATAGATAGAATAAACATATAGGAATGCATTTTAAAGTGTTGGTACATATGACAGAATAGTAAGATAATGCTGGGAGAGTGTTCATGTAAAGTGTTGGTAGTGGGACAGGAATCCCAAATCAATATTTAGTCCTCTCTTCTTTCTGTTAAACCATTTAATCATTCTGGCTTCAAAGGCTTTTCTTTCCTGGGTATTTTTAAAACCCCCTTTCAGTACTTTGATTTTTAGGTCCTTCAGTGAGTGGCCAGGCTGGGTAAAGTGGTGTCCCACAGGAGTGCAGTATGATTCTAAGATGGTGTCTATTTTCTAACAAACCCTTGTCTTATCTACACTCATGTCACTTTAACCCCTGTATCACAACTCAACTTTGAATTCTATGTGTCGTTTTGCTCAGAAATGCTTCAGACTTGAGAAAGGGAGGTTCTCCCGAAAGCTTGTCATTAAAAAATTCTGTTAGTCCAATAAAAAAGGTATTACAAGATAAGAATTTTATCTGTTTTTTACATCTATATATATATATATATATATATATATATATATATATATATATATATATATATATAGATAGATAGATATATATATAGATATATATATATATTATTACAGTGGATTTTCCCTAGGTCAGCTCATTTAGGAAGATCTAATTTTAAGAAGTAAGTTCATTTTATATTAAATACTTTGTTGATTAATATTTGAATTCTTGTTTATCAGATTCCTTGCTGCGGAGATTGCGTGTGGACTCCAATATCTCCACCAACACGACATTGTGCATCGGTAAACACATCTTCGTTAAACGATATATTAATAAGCTTGCTCTCTCTACACTGTGCTGTCCTTTTTTTACCCATATTGTTTAGCTACATTTTTACCTTTCTCTCAGGTGAGTTAAGATTTTTTGCTCATAGACTTCAGCTGTAAGAGGGCATTTTACAAACCGTTTCAACTTAACACTAAGAAGAGGCTTTTTACTTACGTTTGAGAAAAACATTTACTTGTGTTGGGCAGAGCAGAAAAAAGGAAGGGCAGGATAAGAAAGAAAGAAGCAGAATGGTCATTTCTAGTCCAACTGATTAAGAGAAATGTAGAAAACTGCATTCATTAAAACTAAATTACAAAATCCTTTTTTAAATTGTCTCCTAAATTCAGGTATAAGCAGCCTGTTTCATTTCTCTGTGAATTGATGGGGCATTATTTCATTGATTGGCTATAGCTCATAAATAGATTTGTACACACTTCCAGAATTTTACTATTAGTAAGCCATGTAAACGACCTGTTTCATGACAGATCTTCAAAAAACTATAAATCTTATGATATTTCTCTCTACAGAGACATAAAGCCAAGGAACATAATGCTGGATGAAGCGGGTCACATCAGGATAGGCGACTTTGGACTGGCGCTGGAGATGCACGGCAAGAGGACAGCAAAGGGTTACGCAGGCACTGTAGATTATATGGCTCCAGAGGTAGGATAGACCATGGCTACTGTTTGGGTTTGAGGCTACATGACTTGATCATATTACATCTCACCAAGAGCAACAATCACTCTGTAGCTAAACAGATCTTTATAGCTATGAAGATGAAGAACTAGAATTCAACATTTTATCAATGTAAACACAATGTCTGAACACTACTTCAGACAACAGGGCGCCACAGCCACTATAAATATATATTACTGAAAATAGGAGATTCCCATAAATGAAAAACAATCGGTGGAAATACAAAGTCCACTTTATTGCATATAAAGAACAATAGTACACAATAGTGCAACAAGCACAATGTATATAAAATAATATCAAAAATAAGTACACAGCCAAATTGGCCAAGAGCCCCTAAGGGTAGCAGCTATAAACATACAAGTAACTACACTGATAGTAAAAGTGCAAAGTGCTAAAGTGCAAGGGTGCAGGGTACTGATAATACTGCTCCACAAACCAAAAACAGCACAGTGCATACAATATAGGATGGAATGCAAATAGAGTACATGTAGAGTGTACAGCAAGCTCCTGAGGAAGTCGACATCGTAAGCATTAGAGTATTTTCGAGTATAGGTAGCATTCTTTCTCTACATGTACTCTATTTGCATTCCATCCTATATTGTATGCACTGTGCTGTTTTTGGTTTGTGGAGCAGTATTATCAGTACCCTGCACCCTTGCACTTTAGCACTTTGCACTTTTACTATCGGTGTAGTTACTTGTATGTTTATAGCTGCTACCCTTAGGGGCTCTTGGCCAATTTGGCTGTGTACTTATTTTTTATATTATTTTATATACACTGTGCTTGTTGCACTATTGTGTACTATTGTTCTTTATATGCAATAAAGTGGACTTTGTATTTCCACCAATTGTTTTTCATTTATGGGAATCTCCTATTTTCAGTAATATATATTTATAGTGGCTGTGGCGCCCTGTTGTCTGGAGTAGTGTTCAGACATTGTGTTTATTTTGTATAGAGGTTGGGAGTGACCTCGTGACAGTGGCTTGCCTACACTAGCTTTGTGACCTATTATCACCTTCACCACCCACACATTTATCTTTTGTTTTGTTTTTTATCAATGTTCATGTTATTCTCCTCTGTAATAAGATATCATAGTTGATATTATAATAAGCATGGGTTAACATCTTTATTTATTATGGCTGATGGCAACAGTGCTTGGCTAGGTCCTCCAAACTTTAAAGACAATTCTTTAAAATTGAAAAACACCTTCAGTGATTGTCTATACTGTCCCAACCAGTCATATTGCTCCGAATCATTGCACATTTGTAGTGAAATATATATTTTTTATAAGTTGCCTATTCTAATAGGCAGACGATGAGAATAGCATTATATTTGACAGTAATACTTTCTTTCCTGTAAGGAAACACTTGACTTAACATTTCTGAAATTATGTTGGCAGATGCGGAAAGGAAGAAAATATAATGCTGCAGTAGATTGGTGGGCCTATGGTCTAATCCTTCATAAGCTGGCCAAGAGAGCATTTCCAAAAAATCCAAATGCTGCCCAAACAATGCTTCATGACACCACAGATCACCCTGAGTGTCAAAGAAAACAGGTCAAAGATCTCGTGAAAAAGGTGTGTATGATCCGGCAGTCTAAATTAATGTCCTGAAAAAGAGAACATTTATTTATAGAAAACTATTAACAAAGAGTGACACGGAATGCCCATAAATGACAATGGTGTCTATATATGGTAATATCGAAAAAAAGATAAAAGATATATTAATTCAGTCAAATGCTTATAGCTCATACCAGCTTAAAGTCATATAAGACAGGATAATATTTAAGGAGGGGATTTCAGGGAATTAAATATATACACAATAAAACAATCAAGAACACAGTGATAAAATGACTAAAACTAGAGAGAATCGGGAACTGATTCTGGGTTAGGTAGTTTCTCCTATTGAGAACAGGAAAACCTTAAACATTGCATTCAACATATGAAGTCGAGTGGAGATAAAAGCGACTGTACTAGTAATAATCTTGCACCTTTGATTCTTAGAATGTCCCTTTAACCTTGTGATACTGCATACAGATTTACAGATATCTATATTGTGTTTGCATGTGTTTTAGTCAATGAACAAAGGCAGTGGCAGTTTTATTGTTGACATTCTACTCTTCCATTTGCAGCTCCTGTGCAAAAATCCATCTCAGCGCTTGGGGGCAGCTAGCAGCATCCAATTCCATCCTTTCTTCCAGTCCATTGACTGGGATGACCTGGAGGCTGGCAGGCTAGATCCCCCCTTTGTGCTAAGAACAGTAAGTATACGGAAACTTCAAATAGAGACCAGAAAAATCAATGTAACAAAATGAGTGACTAGTTTATGAAAAGATAAGAGAGACGATCAAAGTGCTAATATGGTGTGACCGTGGATTACTGGTTGTGATTGGGACTATGTATATCGGAGTAGTTTGGGGTAATTAGCCCAGAAACACAAACAATATCTAAACTTGGCAGCACTGCAAGCTCCAAAGTGTCCTCTCCAGCCATATCCATACACCTCTGCCCCTGTCCCTAACCAAACAGTTGTGCCTGTCCCTTTGTACCCAACTATCTTAAAAAACCTCATAGGAAAGCACGGTGTGGAAGTCCTAATGCTGGGGTGGGGCTCACCGTTAATCCACATTAGGTTCCCAGATCACACTGAGGTTGAAGAAAGAGGAGCCCGAACCAGCACCCAGAGACCGTAGCGCTGGAATCAGATAAGCGGTTAAAAGGTTTTTTAGGCCTTTCATGTCCTGGGTGCAGTGTAAGCATAGGGAGAGTGTAGTGTTAGGAAAACAGTTTTGCATTCCTAACACTATAGTGTTCCTTGAAACAATCTAGCCTTTAATTTTTCCTTTTGTTCATTGCCACTATGGCTAGATCACTGTGATAATAGGAAAATTACACCAGTTTATACATTTAGCTTTTGGCATTCTGCAATCTCCCCCCGCCATCTTTTACATCCATATTGGTGTTCTTATACTGCTTTCTAGGAATGGTAACACTTATTGGATGTGTTCTTGTACAATGTGTAAATACTACAGTAACTTCTTATGTCTTCTCTTTATAGCCACCACTGGAGAGCTTAATATCACGAGTAATACAGGAGACCCTAACATCTCGATACGAAGCATTTACGCCATCTATTCCACCAGAGCAGCAGCAGTTTCTTGGATTTTCTTTTAACACCCTCTCCTAGCCTACTGCAGCATTATGAATTTTCTTCAACATCTCTTTCCCTGTTGACAACGAGGGACCATGAAGAAAAGGTAAATATACGGTGTTACGTTGTCTCCTGGGCTGTGGGTAGAGAGCTCCAAGCTGAAAGGGAGACACGGTGAAAAGTCTCCCTCTCACTGACTGCTAAATTGTCACCGGATCAGCGTAGACCTGCTAAAAAA